CCTACAATATTAGTGACTATTTGCAAATAGTAACTATGGAGACGAGGTAATAAAATAAAAATCAAGTCGAGAACAACAAATAAATTTTATAAACAAAAACCTCTCGCCGAGCATTGGCTATTATATTATTTCCCTGTCAATGTTCCCATCTTCATCAAAAGGCATAAGATGACAAAAACAAGATCTTGAAGAATCTATCTATATACTACTAAAACTCTGAGATTGTTTGTTTGCTTATTTTCTCAGTCAAAATATCATTCACACTACCGTTCGCGCTTTTTACGAAACTTCTTACTTCACTTTTTGAAAAATGAAATGGTCTTTCCTTTTACTTCCGATCAACAATCAAATTCATTTCTTGAATTATGAATAACATGAATGGATTGAAATATTTAATTAAATTATCTCAAAATAAACCTTCATTTCGGTGCAATATTGAAATTAACTTGAATTCTTTATAACCTCTGAATAGTGGTTGACCCAACAGGTCACGGTGGTCTAGTACCTGATTAAAGATATTTATTAAGTTATAAAAGGGCTATAGCCACAAAACTAGTAAATACCTGTACCTTACCAAGCTGGTGCGTTTATATTCGTAACACCACACCTGCACCTTACCAAGTTGATGTGTTTATATTCGTAACACCACACCTGCACCTTACCAAGTTGATGTGTTTATATTCGTAACACCACACTTGCACCTTACCAAGTTGATGTGTTTATATTAGTAACACCACACCTGCACCTTACCAAGTTGGTGTGTTTTATATTAGTAACACCTCACCTGCACCTTACCAAGTCTGGTGCGTTTATATTCGTAACACCACACCTGCACCTTACCAAGTTGATGTGTTTATATTCGTAACACCACACCTGCACCTTACCAAGTTGGTGCGTTTATATTTCTAACACCACACCTGCACCTTACCAAGTTGGTGTGTTTATATTTCTAACACCACACCTGCACCTTACCAAGTTGGTGCGCTTATATTTCTAACACCACACCTGCACCTTACCAAGTTAGTGCGTTTATATTTCTAACACCACACCTGCACCTTACCAAGTTGGTGTGTTTAGATTTACAATACCTGCTAATTGGATTTTGTTAAGCGCAAAGCTACAAAATGGGCTATCTGTGCTGTGCCCACCACGGGTATTGAAACCTGCTTTTTAGCATTATAAGTCTACCGACTTACCGCTGAGCCACTGTGGGATGAGGGGTAGACAGCACCTGCTAAAAGCTGTAACAAGAAAACTAATATCGTCCAGCCTAACACTAAAAATGTTCCTCATTTTTAGACTTAACCATAAAAAAATCGGTTTTGTGTGAATTTAACCAAACGCAAAGACTTCGTTTTTAAAAAAAAACGGAATGGCTCTTCTTTGTTCTAAGTATAAAATAGATAATTTCTTTTGCTTATTATTGTCTCAGTAAATAGCGTCTTAGTTACTCCGTATTGTATCACTGTACAGCGATATATATTAAATAAATTAAAAAATATATGATAAGTACTAATATACCTTGATCTACAGCACACCGCCAGGGGTTCCGGAAACCATAGGCGAACACTTCCGGTCGACCACTATTAACAAATGGGTTACTTTCTGGTACACCGTAAGGGGAAGCGAGGCTGGCATTGATCCGAAGAATCTTTCCTAACAGCGAAAATCTTGAATAGAAAATGATCAATTCGTGTTTAATCCAAATGGAGTTCGTTTAGTATAACTCAGTAGTAATTTTAGTTTAGCTACAAGTGATATACTTTAACAAACTGACCTTTGTAATGGCATAAGAAAGTGGTGAAACTTGATTCCTGAAATTTTGAAAACAACAACAAACATGAATGTCATTGAATTAACGAACACTTATGAAGCTGGCTTTAACATTTGTAGTAAACTGGTGTAACCTAGTAGAATTAACAAACACTAATGAAGCTGGCTTTAACCTTTGTAGTAAACTGGTGTAACCTAGTAGAATTAACGAATGCCAATGAAGCTGGCTTCAACCTTTGTAGTAAACTGGTGGAACCTAGTAGAATTAACGAACACTTATGAAGCTGGCTTTAACCGTTGTAGTAAACTAGTGTAACCTAGTAGAATTAACGAACACTAATGAAGCTGTCTTTAACCGTTGTAGTAAACTGGTGTAACCTATTAGAATTAACGAACACTTATGAAGCTGGCTTCAACCTTTGTAGTAAACTGGTGGAACCTAGTAGAATTAACGAACACTTATGACGCTGGCTTTAACCGTTGTAGTAAACTGGTGTAACCTACTAGAATTAACGAACACTAATGAAGCTGTCTTTAACCGTTGTAGTAAACTGGTATAACCTAGTAGAATTAACGAACACTTATGAAGCTGGCTTCAACCTTTGTAGTAAACTGGTGTAACCTAGTAGAATTAACGAATACTAATGAAGCTGGCTTTAACCTTTGTAGTAAACTGGTGTAATCTAGTAGAATTAACGAATACCAATGAAGCTGGCTTTAACCTTTGTAGTAAACTGGTGTAACCTAGTAGAATTAACGAATACCAATGAATCTGGCTTTAACCTTTGTAGTAAACTGGTGTAACCTAGTAGAATTAACAAACACTAATGAAGCTGGCTTTAACCTTTGTAGTAAACTGGTGTAACCTAGTAGAATTAACAAACACTAATGAAGCTAGCTTTAACCTTTGTAGTAAACTGGTGTAACCTAGTAGAATTAACGAATACCAATGAAGCTGGCTTTAACCTTTTTAGTAAACTGGTATAACCTAGTAGAATTAACGAACACCAATGAAGCTGGCTTTAACCTTTGTAGTAAACTGGTGTAACCTTGTAGAATTAACGAATACCAATGAAGCTGGCTTTAACCTTTTTAGTAAACTGGTGTAACCTAGTAGAATTAACGAACACCAATGAAGCTGGCTCTAACCTTTGTAGTAAACTGGTGTAACCTTGTAGAATTAACGAACACCAATGAAGCTGGCTCTAACCTTTGTAGTAAACTGGTGTAACCTAGTAACACGTCTAGCTGGAAATATTCAGATCAGTAGTTAGACTAACTGGGATTCTTAAATATCTTCAGTTCTAGTAACCCAGAGTGTGGGGCTCTCTCAAGGAGGCGCGAATGATTTCTTTGGGGGATGGGGGGGACTAGCGATTGAGGTAGTCAGTAGTGGAATAATGCAAAATTACTACAACATATATAGTTTAATAATGTGTATCCGTGTATTATATCTCGACACTTAACTAACTATTTCAGTCATTTAAAAAAAGTGGGGACATGGATGACAAACGTTTGGGAAACACTGCCTAACTGGCTGAAAATCCCAGAAATCTCCAAATATCTAGTTACTATTAACTGGAAATCTTTTAAATCAGCAAACTTGAGAAGTAGGAAAATTAGTAATTTAGTTAATAAGTAAATCAGTTATATCCAGAAATATTAAAAAAGAAACAAATGGGTAATTGGGGGTATCTTGTTAACCCTACTTAAAAAAGTAGTTTACCAAACATTATGACTAAAACATAAAGAATATAAATGCTGTTTTTTCTCATGCGTTACATAACACCAACAAGTTAAACTTTAGAAGTGATATGTAATCTATTTATAACAATGGGTTTCAAATGACAATGATTTATTGAATATGAGATCGGCTTTTATAATTTTTTAAAAACAGGATTTGAGCTGAGATTTTGGACGTGAAATAGTCTTCTTTGTCTTACAAGTTGTATCGATGACCTAAAATAAGTTTCTTCACAGTAAGAACATTTTAAACATTATCCTTTTTTGTGTGTGTGTGATTGCAAAGTCAAGTTAATATCTATAAATCCGGCAAACTTTCCCAAGATCATAAATATCCTCAAAGCTCATAAGTGTTTTTATCTGAAGAACAGTTGTTATGTCGTGAAAAGCTATGACTTTTGCATTGGAGGATATGCCAGGTGTCATCTGTAAACGTAGATTAGGTTAAATTAATTTTTGATCTGTATCATGTGATTCTTCTGTCTGGTTAACTTTTGTAATGCTAAATGCATGGTTAGATTGTGCTTTTTTTTGTTTGTTTGTTGTTGTGCCCAAAGCCACAAAATAGGCTACCTGTCTTGTGCCCACCACGGCTATCGAAACCCAACTTTTAGCGTTGTAAGCACATGAAGATTAGGTCTGTGCCACTGGAAAGCCATGGTTAAGTCAAAATAGTTCGTAAAAAATGCCACTAATTTTCTAAATTTAATACCCAGTATGCGATTTGTTTGTTGTTAATTTTAATTTCGCCAAAGCTACACGAGGTCTATCTGCGCTAGCCGTCAATAATTTAGCGGTGTAAGACTAGAGAGAAGGCAGCTAGTCATCACCACCCACCGCCAACTCTTGGGCTATTCTTTTACCAACGAATAGTGGGATTGACCGTCACATTATAACTCCCCAAAAGCTGAAAGGGCGAGCATGTTTGGTGGGACGGGGATTCGAGCCCACGACCCTCAGATTGCGAGTCGAGCGCCTTAACCACCTGGCCATGCCGGGCCATGTGATTTAATGAGACCGAATTCAGGATATAGGTGGGCTACAGAGGGGCGTTACGGTTTCCGGTATTCAAGTTAAGATTTAAAAAAGGGTTTGATCTGTTAACGTTAAAACCACACTTTACTGCCAAAAGGGCTCATTTCTCAATAGTGTCCGGCAGCGAAGATGTGTAGTTTAAAACGTTGGCCAGACTGGATTCCTTTTGCACTAAAATAAGTAGGAGTGTTCATGTTCAAGCTACTTACCAGTTACAAGAAACTTCTTATAGCCTTCCTCGTTCATCTCTATTGACAGAACTCGCGAAAATCATGGAGAAAACGGCTTTATAGAGCTAAGAAACCGGATCTTGTATTGCGCAACATGTGCGGCCACTATTGTATTTTCTGTGGGATTTTGGATTAGGATATAGGCTTAACTCCTGCACAGCCTGAATACTAGTGTGAATTCTGCCACGCTGGTGGGCAATTCATTCCAAGTATCAGAAGGAGTTGAAATCTCTGTTCAGAATTAAGAAAAGAGAGTATCTGAAAGCTCTGTCAAACATATCTCCCTGACTCACAGACTGGATGTTAAATAAACTTACTTGTCAAATCTGCTGTTGGCTCGGTCTCCGCCATCGCCAGTAGTTATATACAAGTATCCATCATTGCCGAAAAACAACTGACCGCCATTCTGCCGTGGTCCTGGCTGTTCAATTTCTAAAATAACCTCTTCCGAAGACTTGTCAACCTGTTAAAACACAAATATGTTCAGTTTTAACCTGTTAAATACGGATGTTCAAATTAGCCTGTTAAAGTTTGTTTGTTTTGAATTTCGCGCAAAGCTACACGAGAGCTATTTGCGCTAGCCGTCCCTAATTGAGCAGTGTAAGACTAGAGGAAAGGCAGCTAGTCTGATATCACCACCCACCGCTAACTCTTGAGCTACTCTTTTACCAACGAATAGTGGGATTGACCGTATGTTTTGCTTTAACGTGTTAAAACACAGTCATATTCAGATTCAAACTGTTAAAACATTTATATGTTCAGCTTTAATATGTTAAGTTACAGATATTGAACTTTAAATTCTTAAAACATAGAAGTATTCATCTTTAACTTGTTAAAACGTAGATGTGTCCAGATTTAACTTGTTAAAACGTAGATGCGTTCAGCTTTAAATTGTTAAAACATAGACGTGTTCAGTCGTATCCCAGCCTGCCTAACGATCCCTGATATTGGACTAAAGGCCTTGTCGGTATTGGATATGGCAGGGGTAGCGTAGTTGACGCATTGTAATATACTCTTTTTTTTTTTTTCATTCATGGGTTCTTAGAATTTTTAGTTATATTTTACTTACCCCCAGTCGCGTAGTGAGTGTGTCTGTCGCCATCCCCTCCCAAATCCAAACTCCATCCACCCTTCACACACTAACTTCTAACCTTACATAGTAACCCCTACCTACCATGATACTATATCTCACCATATTGTCATGCTTATCTGGTATTTGAAATGCATTGAGCCTTAGTCTTATGGGGAAAGATAAATTATGGGCAAACTTGTTAATTTGGCGTCCCCCAGACCCGGAGCCCGGGGGCAATTGCCCCCATGCACCCCCTCACTACGCCACTGCTTACCCCAGTGAACCTGCCCTATATAAGTAAATGACAGATTGGGGGTTCATATTTATTTTTTAGTATTTTAAACACAAGAATAAATTAGTAGCATCAATACTACATGTTTTCCAAATCCTGTATAAGTATAGGTTCAACAAAAAACAACATACATGTTTAAACAATATTTGAGATGACGTGTTGTAGAAAACACAGACGATCAACAAGTAAACAGAAACCCATTCCAGAAAAAATTAAACAAAGGCAAGAAGATTGCAATTATTATTTATTAGATTCGCTATTTGCAACATTTAACCATATTACTATATTGTTAAATACCCGTTGTAAATAATCAATATCAGTAACTTACTATATTGTTAAATACCCGTTGTAAATAATCAATATCAGTAACTTACTATATTGTTAAATACCGTGTTGTAAATAATCAATATCAGTAAC